GGTGTCAGATTACATCTGCTTTATAACGTAATGTTTGAGGAAATGTCGGGAATGCGGACGTATTGCATCACGCTGTGATTTGTTTGCCTCGATGCATTCAAGCGATTCTAAATGGTAATTTCCACTAATGATTATAGACCACCACAAAGTATAGCATATTTCTAATTATGAAGAGACCCTTTGATGGATTTCTCTAGTTAATTTGTAGTTATTTCATTATTTTCATTTAGTTCACTCATTTGCAGCTTTCATATTTCGTCCTGTCCTTGCTTCTTGCTTCCTCACATCATGTTCTTTACGTATCTCATACAACTCATTCACACCAAGGCCATCTGACTGCCTGGCTTCTGGAGTCTGTACAAAGAGCATAGATAAACGGTCTGCTTCCCTCAGAGGGGGCAGACAGACCATGGACCAGCCGTGTGTAAACATCTTTCTGTAACATTTTCGTCCTGTCTCAATAAACTGCTTAAGCTGAAAGGAAACTGCCTCATCTGTCGAATCTGAAAGAACCTGAGGATTCACTGAAGAAATCTATGACAGTCAAACCTTGAGATACAAAGATAATTAAGTTTAGTTAACAATATATGATCTTTTACCCTGTACAGAGTTGAAGTCAAAGGTTTACAGTAGCCTACATAGGCCTATACAGAGGCTAAAAGATTTTCCGACTAATATTTTTACAAATCCACACTAGGTCTGAGCGATATGGAGAATTGCTTTATCGTGGTCATTTTTTTTGTATTAGTCAGCGTCAATAATAATATAAATAACATCACTGCCTGACCTCACAAATGCTCTTCTGGATGAATGGGCAAAAATTCCCACAGATACACTTTAAAATCTTGTGGAAAGCCTTTCCAGAAGAGTGGCAGCTGTTATAGCTGCAAAGGGGGGACCAACTCCACATTAATGCCTATGGATTTAGAATGTGATGTCATAAAACTTCCTGTAGGTGTAATGGTCAGGTGTCCCAATACTTTTGTCCATATAATGTGTATATAATCCAAGTCAATATTTTTTTACTTTAACTTCACATTATTTTGCTTTAAATTGTCTTAGAATTACCCTTGAAAATAAAAAAACACAACGAATGGACTGCAAACTGAAATCTAATTTTAATAATAGGCTGTCATTCAATAAATAAATAAAATCTTTTTGTCATAAATTGTAACGCTAGAAAACGTGGACAGGATGTTTTTTGTTGAGTTTTCTCCCCGACTGTCTTGCAGCTTATTCAAGAGAACGGGTTTCACGTTGATGGTAGTTGTCACCCATCCAGTTTTTAACCGACACGTGATATGTCCCGTATTTCTTCAGATTTAAAGTGAAATCCCAGTTGCTGGTTTTTGTGACTGTAAGCACTTGCGTTCTGTATGGTCTACTGCAGTGTTTCCCAATCCAGTTCTTCCGGGCCCACAGACGGTCCATATTTTTGCTCCCTGCCAGTTCCCTACCGGAGGGAGCAAAAATGTGGACTGTCTGAGGGTTTGCGAGGAATGGATTGGAAAACACTGGTCTATTGGATGGCAAAGCTTCAAGTCGTGCAGTATTTCCGTTTTTTATTAAATTGTAAACTGCAAGAAGTACCGCTATACCACCTACATTTTTACCCTGTTTATCCACAGTATCTCCATTTTTGAAAGGTGTAGGGGCTGCTGAGCTGCCGCTTTCTTCACAGAAACTTCAAGTTTCCCGTGAGGGAGTCATTATCTCTTCCACAAAACATTAGCATGTGATGCGTCCAGCTGACTCAACCAACTTTGCGGAATATTTGTTGTAATAGGCTGTCAGTTCGTAAAAGGCTACCATGTGATTGGTTGGAATTGCCTTAGTTTCTGTGATGTAATAGGCTGATGTTTGCCATCAAGCAATGTTCCTTTTCGACAGTTTATCGAAGTTTTCTAATTTTCCTTTTGTTTAGAATTTGGTGATCAGTGGTCATTGTCAACACACCACAGCACACAGTGCGCAAAAACGAAATGTGTCCTCTGCATTTAGTGACCGTATGTGACTTTCGTGATATAGCAGGGGGCAGCTAATTCAGCGCCCGGGGAGCAGTGCTTGGTCGGGGATTCGAACAATTACAAGTGCGCTTCCTTAAACATCAAGCCCACTGCCCACAAAGGCAAAGTTTTTGCTCCAGGTGAGGCTCGAACTCACAACCTCGGCATGGCCCCGCTTGCACTGCTGTATAAGTACCGCGCGCTAACCGATTGCGCCACTGGAGCTTTGTTTATATTATGGGCAACGATAAATCGATATATTGTTTATATCACTCCAGACATATGTTACTATACATTTCCTGTGTGAAGCCAATAAAGATATCTATTTTATTTCCATAAACGGCAAAAATGAATATATCGAAATAATGAGATTTATTTCAGCCTTTATGTACTATATTTGAGGTCAAAAGTTACATACACCTAAAAATTTTTAAACTGTTTTTTTTTTTTTTTACAACTCCAGACATGTTATGTTACCATACATTTCTTGTGTGAAGTCGATCAGGGTATCTACTTTATAAGAGGTAATATCAAATGAATAGCTATAACACATTTATTTCAGTCTTTATTTACTTTTTCAGATTTTCCAAAGGGTCGAAAGTTTACATGCATTTTGTTAGTATTTGGTGGCATTGCCTTTTTATTGCTTTCTAAATGCTTAGTGAAGCCTTCTGAAAGCTTCTCAGAATATGTGTGAATGTATTAATGCCAATTCCTCCTGACAGGATTTGTGTAATTCCACCTTGGCTGGGTGCACAAAAAACTGTGTGTGCTTCAGATCAGGGCTTCATGGTGGGTACTGCAACACTATGCTGTCTCTAAGCCGTTTTGTTACAGCTTTGAAGGTTTGCTTAGCTTCACTGTCCTGCTGGATAATAAAGTTGTGACCAGATTTTTGGCTGTTGTCTTAAGGTGTTGCTTTAGACAATTTTTAGACAATCTTCCTTATAATGCCATCCAGTGCACCAGTCCCTTTACCGGCAGAACGCCCCAAATCATTATGGCCAATTTTAGTTTCATCTTACCAGGTTCTGATGATCACATGTTCCAGCAATTTGGTGTATGTCAACTTTTGGCTTCAACTGCACACAGGAGTTCTTTGATTTTCACATAATCCCGTCTCGCTCTCTCTGTGAGACATATTAAAGGTGAGAGTTAAAGGTCAGCCATATACCTGGTACCCCCGGAGCCTTTTTTTTGGGGGGGGGGGTTGAACACCCAACAGTCATTTGATTACTCTGCAGTCCACAGCATTCAAAATAACAGCGTGCTGGGTACCAGTACAGTGTCCTAACCCAGAGAGTCACACACTTTTCCAAATGTGTTTTCAGATTTTTTCATTCATTTTACCGTTTCATTCATAATAATATCAAGCAAAAATAGAAATTGTCATAAGTGTGTGCAAATAAGTATGATTTTGCAGCCGTACCATAAGTCCACCTATAAAATGTTTCTGAAAGAACTGGACCAGAGAGATCTTTATCCTTTGAATGTGTGCCAGTGTACATATTTTGGGCTGCAACAGGAAAAGATAATCTCTGGAATGGTGACAGCAACGGGTAGATGCCAGCGGGCTATGCAGAGCAAACCTGTCACCAAGGAATGTAGGATATGATGTCACCCTTCAGGATCTTTGGGCCGGAGTTGTTTGTTGCTTTATAATGTTCATATGTTCCCAATGTTCTGATGCTGATTTGCCCAACCTGAGGACACGGCATCCATGCAGCACATGCTGTAGCGGATAGACGTTCATACATGAACCTCCTCACGGGAGTGAAGAACCTTGCCTAGGACCTGACATTCATTCAGTCCAAAAAACTATGTTCACATCAGGAGTACAGGCATCATACCTCGCATGCAATTTCTATCAATCCAGCCTGTTCAATAATAAAAGCTTTCAATGCATCATCCCTTCAATAAAATCAAGGTGATTCATAAGTGCAGTCAAGGTAACGACACAGGAGATTATTCACCTACAGAACAGTACTGGTAATTATAGCTCAGGAACATTTTTAAATCTTTCAGAAGTAAACACCTTTCAATACTCATGGAATAAACAACCTAGAGGTTCTTTTCTTGTGACACTAATCAATGCAGACAATAGGCTTAAATGTTCTTAGTAAGTAGAAATTTTGCCCTTCCAACACATTAGAATAAAATTGCTTTGTTCCTCAAAATCTTTCTGGTGTTAAAATAGGTAATAAAATATCTATAATATATATAATTTTCTAGCTAATTAATTCATTTAATTCACATGGCACTGTAAATCCTCAAAAATCAAATTGCTTTAATTGTGTTTATTGGTCTCTTTTGGCTCCCTGCTTTTATTGTTTTGCAAGCAAATATAAGGTCACATGACTAGAGTTGAGTAGATTTAGGATATCCCTCTCCAGGTACTGATTTGTAAAGTATGAGTTATGAAACAGAGAAAGATTTCACTGACTGCCTAGTATAATATCTGCCATACATGTAATATGCATGAGATCTTAAATCCATTTTCTGTAAATGCTTGTCCTGTTTAGAGTTGTGGGGGGGTTCAGAGCCTATCACAGAGGCTACAGGCATGAGGCGTGGAACAACCCAGGATGGGGCACCAACCCATCGCAACACACACTCACACACCATTCACTCACTCAAGCAAACCTATGGACAATTTGGCAACTCCAGTCAGCCTCAGCATGCTTTTGGACTGTAGGAAGTAAATCAGAGGAAACCCCACGACGACACGAGGTGAACATGCAAACCCCACCCACCCACACACACACACACACACACACACACACACACACACAGAACCCTGGCGTAGACTCAAACCCAGATCTCAGAGGGGTGAGGCGACAGTGTTGACCACTACACCACCATGCCACCCCTAGAGCTTAAATCCGCTTCAATAATTAAATTAACAAAAGCCTTACTGTTATAATGCAAATAATACATTTTGGCATGGATGAAAATAAAATAGAGGAAAGCAAACAATAATCCAACAGACACAAATTTGCTGATGCATTTTTAATTGCTTTCATGCTAACTACAGGATAGGACAGAAATACAGTATTAAAAATGAAACATGGAATAAACGTTTTGGTGGTGCACTCAGTTATCTTTATAATTTACAGTCCCTGGCACTGCATACCTCACTTTCAGTGAATCTGCTGCTTTGTGTGAATCATGGGAAACCAGTTCATGCACAGAACACACAATATCCAGAGACAGCGAATGAATATAATAATTCTGATATAAAAATATCTTCCTTTTTTACACAGTGCACAGTTTCACTACTCATATTTACAAATGCAAATACAAAGGGGAAGCTATTATACAGCACAGGCAAATTATGGTTACATACACTGCGGAAAATATTCAGATGGTTTTTATGAGAGCAGATACTGATAAATTCCAGTGTTACTGTATGCACTTTAACGGTCGTCCACATTTAAGCAAATAGGTTCGGGGTTGAATCATTAGCAAAAGGAGATATCTGGCTCTTAAAGGGATTTTTTGTTGTATTTTTTATAAGTTTTGCAAGTTACCAGTTCCTTTTTTTTAATATATACTTATATGCATAATGACCTGTTCAGAGACAAAAGCCTGCTATAGCTCTGGTTTACAGGGAGACATTACATCTGCACTGGACAACAGCTTTGGTGGGCTGTACTACTTGTTTTCTCCACGAGGGGTGCCTGACAGTGAACGGCAGACACATTAGCATACGATGCTGCATTTCAGTCGGTGAGGCACCCCCTTCTTTGAGCCCTGACACCTGCCCCTTTCTGCCTCTTGCTGGGAGATTGGTCAGCCATCCACATGGTACTCACTTCCCAGAGTTCAGTCTGACTCCCCCTTTTCCATTATACAACTGTCTGCCATCCAGTGCCTCTATAAGCTTAAATGTGGACTTGTTTTAACACAATGACGAATATACTATTTCCAAAATGCTAGTAGAATATATACATTTCAATGATTGAAAACGAAAACCAGGTGGTTCAGAAACACTATTGTTTTGGAAAATCTTATCTGAAAGATTTGTCTGAAAAAAATATATATATGTCATCCAGCTTTTCACTCTTTCAGTTATTAATGTCAGTTTATATTAATTTTGTTAATTTTGTTTCTTGCTTCCCATGCAAAACTTTCTTAACACAGAAATAATGAAATAAGGTAGAAAACTGTCTAACAGTTATGATAAAACAGTGTAAACAAAACATTTTCTTAATTTTCAAAGGCAAATGTTAGAAATTCCTTGGTAGCATGTATCAGGAGTTGTATATTTGTACACACACACACACACACACACACACACACACACCCGTCAACATTAACAGGATACTTTAATACCCAGATTGAATTAAAGATACTCTGTCATTCACACTCACTCTTTCCAACAAGCCATTTGGATTAACAAAGAAAATATAATTAAAAACAATAAAACATTTCTGATTGTATAAGAGGGTACAGACTGAACTCAGAGCATGACATAGAAATACTGCAGTCTAAATATGCTGGTATCTGTAACAATTTGAAAATATCCTAATAAAATATTCACCCTTGAGAAATCCTTCAATAAATTACAAAATTATATGGGTGATTGCACAATTTTAGAGCTGGCAAAAATAATTAAAGTCCTCCACCCCCCCACAAACTTACACAAATCTCACAGAGCACAGCCTATGCTGCCCATGCTTTCACTCCCCATTACCAAGAAAAACCGGAGAGAATGTGATGTTTTATTCAGAGTGATATCCATGCCTGTGGTGACGATGACTCCCCATTCGCACTTCGCCTTTGTCTCTCATCTGCATGGGAATCTGGGCGTTACTCTGGAGGTACAAGGCAGGGGCATGGATGCACACAAAGGGGCGCTGTGGAGCTGGAGACGTCCACTGAGGGTCATGAGTCTGTGGGAAGCTGCACAGGAATGGCAGCTCCAGCCCTCTGGGCTAGAAATACTCTGTGCTGCCAGTGGGTTTCGCCTTCCTGTGGACAATAAGCAAGAGATAGCAGGTGCTGAGCCAGAGGGCCAAAAACTACAGGCATGGGCAGGCTGCCCTACAGTATTCTGACACTGCATTACCACCAATGACCAGAGGGGGTGCTGAAGCGCCCTCCACACGCATACTTCCAGTGCTACTGACTCCACCTGCTCGTTCTCTGACAGCACCGACCCAGAACGAGGCTCAGAGTTCATAACCTGAGTCTAATAGCAAAAGTACTTGGTTCATCCACTCATCTGATGCCAGGGACTCCGCTGGGCAAATAATGCTCCAGAGAGCAGACGTACGTCATAAGGGGAGGACACGGCTATGAGACAACACCCGGCAAGCTCCGCCCACTTGGTACAAACACAGGAACCATCGTCTGAAGACTTAAAGTCAGCAGTTCCTGTAATTGTGCTTTCCAAGGGTCTATTCTGTTTCTTTCAGTAGCATAGTGTGTGTTGCCAACTCCTTCTGCAGGAATGTGTTCAATAGTATAAATGCTTTCAGTTTTGCTTACGTGTGAGGAGCCTTTTAGGAAGGTGTTAATCACAATGACAGAAACAACCATCAGACCTTCAAAGAAAATAATATATATGGAAAAAATAAAGCCATAAAAGTACCAAAAAATCTAAGCCTGTCCAAGCATTTTACTATACACAGATGTACGGACATTTTACTTTCTGTACTGCATCAGTATTCAGTTTTATTAACAACAGAAACATGCACTTAGTATTTCCTTAAATTTAAACACGCAATTGTTAAATAGTCATCCACCCTCTACTGCTGTGACAGCTCGTTTCGGCAGCCAAAAAGCATTATTTCCGCTGTGTGGATTATAAAAAACAAAATATGCAAGGTGGTTTGACCGGTTGTGAGCAAACAAGCTGATCTTTCAAAACAACTCCTGCCTAGTATTATGTTGGGATTCAGAACAAAGCAAGGCAGAGATGCATATTTTAATGTATAGACTTCCTAGTCTGCGATGGGCTGGCTCCCCGTCCAGGGTTGTTCCGTGCCTCGTGCCCATTGCTTCCGGGATAGGCTCCGGACCCCCCGCGACCCAGTAGGATAAGCGGGCTGGAAAATGGATGGATGGATGGACTTCCTAGTTCTACTAGTGAAAGTACCTTGAAAATCACAGGTAAAAAGATTCTAAATCTCCTTATTTCTTAAACCCTTTTAATTGTACAAAATGCATTAATATTGGACAGACACTTTGTATGTTGTGATGGTTTACATAGTACATTCACAAAACAAAGCAAGTAACTATTGCATCGCTGAAGCTCTTTTGTAATACAGGTCGTCGTAATTATACATACAAAATACTGTGAAAAAGTCTTAAGCAGTCAAAGAAAATCACGTTTACAGTACATGATTTTCATGGTAGTGTAGAACTGTAATGTCTGTCAAATTGTTTCAGTTTAGCCATTTCAAAACCTCTCCTGAAGTCACGCCAGTATCTGCAGCCACCATCCATCACACCCATGTATTTCTGACTCGACCACTAGCACAACAGGATTGGCTAATCAATACATCATTGACTTTTGTTAACTAATTAAATTGATGAATTAAGTAAGCTGGTGGTGACAAACACATGGAATGGCTGAGGTGCCCTGAGGAGGGAATTGGGAACTGAAGCTGTGTTCTTCTAACCAGCCAACTAAACATAGTAACTTTTTGGAGAACAGAAGAAATTCTTATTAGTTTTTATTATGTTCCTCTTAATTTGCATATGTTCTAATGTTCAATTGTGCTTTTAACTGCCTAGATAAATAACTTTACACATGCATTGTACGCACAATATAATATTCAATGCCCCCTTGCCACACCTCACCTTTCATGGTACTCTTCTTTATCACCGAGGAAGTTGGTCTCTGTCCTGTTCAGGTCCACCAGATCCGTGTGGACCTTGTCCAGGTACTTGCTGGTTTCGTGCTCCCCGTGAGGAGCGGTTGCTGGCTGCTCCTTGGTGAAGCTGCGGGAGGCGCCGTCCCACTCGCTGGCGTCTTCCATCTTCAGGAAGCCGCTGTAGGGCTCCTCCAACGGGGAAGCCTCGTCATAGAAGAGGAGGCTGCGCGAACGGACTGCGGCACAGCGTACACACCGTCATTATATTTATTTATTTAGGAGACACTTTTTTCCAAAGCAATAAAGTAGGGGTAGCCAATCCCTGAAGGTTAAGGGCTTTGCTCAAGGACCCAAAGGCAATATCACTCTGCCCAGCACAGGATTTGAACCAGCAACCTTCTGATCATGAGCACAGTGTCCTAAACCACAGAGCCACATATTGCCCTCATAATGTTTAGATAAACCTCCTAAGTGCTTAGTTCTTCGATTAGATACAGTTCTCTATGTATTATTCATTCAAGACTCTTATCTTTCTTACAGTATTTATGAAAAAAATCTTGCTGTGTGTAAACGGTTCTGTACAACACAATTAATAATAATAATTAAGCAGCAAGGTCACTAGATCTTTGATGGGCTAAATGCATCATAGCAGTCTTTCCCAGTCTGCTCCACAGGGACCAAAGTATGAACTGTCTGGCAGGGAGCTGGGAGGGAGCAAAAACATGCAACATCTGTGGTTCCCCGAGGACCGGGTTGGAAAGCACTGCATTAATAAATTCATTCACTGCAATTACTCACAAGGGCTTATGACTAGACATATACAGAGAGAGCACCCAGACGCAGTAAATCAGAACAGTGAACATACTGTGGCTGGCCGTGTAGATGTCTGCTGGAGGCAGGGGTGAAGACTTCACCATATGGGACATGGAGGACACCTCGGACAGCCCTGGCATGAAGGAGCCGAGCACCAAGACGAAGCAGAGCAGCACCACCTAGCAGTGAGATCCAAAGGACATAGATGTGAGGTGCTGAACCTTTCCGGCACTGAGAATGTAAGACAAAAGGGCAAGATCCAAACCAACAAAAAATGACCTTCCACTGAAATATATTCAACACATCTACCCATAGTTCATCTACACCAGGGATCAGTCTGTCCATACATGGACAAATGTGTCGATGGCAAAGCTTGACTGTGTCTGTGGCAAAAGAAAAATGACCATATAGGCTACGTTTTTAAATATCACATCTCTGGCAAAAATTGAATTTTGCTCAAATTGTCCGTCAGCATTCGCCGAGGTGCTGAGCCCTGATCTAAACAATTACCCTGGTCAGGATTATGGGGATTATTGTAAACCAGCAATTGAAAAATCCTTTTAAATGCAAAGAACTACTTCAAAGCCCTAATGAGTAGATCACACCAAAATTATTGTATCTCATACACCCATAATTCCTCAGTAAGGTTCCAGGCCTCATACTCCCATAATCCCTCAGTAAGGTTCCAGGCAAAGGCAATTTGCTGCCTTAAGGATTTGTATTTAAAGCTTAATTCTAGACCAATAAGAAACAAACTACATAGGCCCGTGTTTGCAGGTTGTTCTTCTAGCCAGGCAGCTTTACTTAGTGCCCTGGGGGTGCATTTCCCCAAACCCAAGAATCCATATCTTCTGCAATCACAGCCTGGCCTTCCAGTTATATGAGCCTCTGGCTCCAGGGCTGTTTGTCAAAGGCTCTGCTATCCATCACAGGCAGAAGCCATAGCCACGCCACACCCCTCAATACACAGAGAGAGCCACCATTCAGTGTTATAAATTGAATGTGCTTCTGCCTTTACACCAGCAGACACACTAATGGATGTGCACCCAGCGGGCCCACTGGCCATGCCGCTGCTCTGAGAGATATTGCTATTTTCCGCTCACGCGTTTTCCCACAAAAACCCATGAATCTCCAAATCAGAATTGGCCACATGAATGAAATTCAAGCGTAATGTGTTGCAGAGGTGATGCGTCGGTGCCCACGGACGTCAGTACGGCTCGCTGGCGTAAAACGGCGGTGGCAGCAGAATGATGATGACGGCGATACGCACCATGAGGCAGGTTCCCGTTTGGGTGGAGGCTATCTTGCAGAACTGGGGGACTTTTCCTGCCACCAAAGACTGGAGCTTCTGCAGCTGCTGGAGGAGAGACCTGAGAAGACAGATATTATATGGCATATATGTTGATAGGGCAAGGAATAGGTTGTAACTATAGGTATAGGTATGAACTACATCTACTGTTCTCAGAAAGACAATACATATCCCGCAGGACATATTGAGGATTCAGGAATAAGAAGAGTATAAATAATCCCAGCAATCTTGCCCAGCAGTAAATTATAAGTATTTCAAATGCAGTCATTCAAACACTAAGTCAAAGTCAAAATGCTATTGACAGACATGCAGAAGATCTTAAATCTGAATTGTGGTTTACGTAAAAGGTACAGACCTACAAGGAGACCGATTTAAATGTAAATCTTTCGGTTTCATTCTCAAATGCATTTTTCATGATTGCACATCTGACCACTAGAGGGTGCCAAACCTCTATTCAGGTAAATAACAGCATATTCTAAGATAATAAAAAATTTAGTTTTTCAGGTACATTGTGTGAATGTTTGTCCTTTAGTCGGAAGATGTTTGGCATAAATACCAAGACTGGAGCACCAGTTTTATTTTAAATTAAATAGTAGACATCTCTTCTCCTCTATCCAACCAGATTGATTGATTCTTCCTGTCAAACTATGAAAGCACACCAGTCAGACCTCTGTCACTTTCAGTATATAACACAGGGACTTTTATAAACACTTTGCACTGCCAGTTTAAATAATTCTATTGCTATCTGAGTACCAACTCAGCCAAGCCAAGCCCTACTAGTGCAAAGTCTCAGAATGTCTTTGATAGCAGTACAGTGTTATTGTTTTTAATATTAACATTAATAACATATTATACATTTATCTGACACATTTATTCAAAGCAAATACCAGTAGAGAGAAGGGCTACAGTATGCATGTGCTCCCTGGTATTTGAACCCATTACTTGTTGAGCTAAAAGAACTGTAATACACATATTAATTAATATGATATTAACATTACAGGCGGAATTTATCCATTAATAAATTTCATTTTATAAAATTAAGTTTCCAAAAGCTGGCATGATGACGAACAGCACTTGGAGGCTGCCCAGCCCAGCCGTAAACGCTGGCATCCTACCTGTTAGTGCCCTCCAGCGTCTCCACCTTCTTCCACAGCTCGTTATTTTCAGAAGTGTACGTTTCTACCCTGTGGGGCAGACGTTCACGTGAGTGAATGCTGATACGTGACACGTCATTTGGCGGACATCTAGAAGGACTCCACGGTGCACAAAGCGTAGTATCATGGAGTCAAATTACTGAACGCTGTCCACACCAACAAGTGTGTCCTGACTGATTTAAACTCCTAGTTTGCATTAAGGTTCAATCCAAACATAAAAAAGAACCCAGTGAAGAACATTAATACAGTGCAGCGGTGCATGATCTGCTTTTTTAATACAGAGGTTACTGAATAGTGCAAACCATATTCAACACCCGGATGATTTTTCACAATGGTTTAAGAATACAAGCCTGCTGATGCAGAGTCTTCAAAGAATATCCATAATGATGAGAAGAAAAGATGTAAATAATTTTTCAAAAAAGCATTCCTGTAATTAACATAGTCATTGATTATGAGTTAGTCATTAGCCTTTAGTACTGTCATGGACAGAGGTTTCCCCTGCCGGAGTGAATCAGTAGTATCTATCTTACTTCTTCTCCAGACATTCCACGTACTCCTTCTTCTTCCTGCGGCTCTCCTGTGCTGAGATCTGCATATTGAGAAATGGGACGGTTATAAAATTACATGGGATTTATAAGAAGGACAAATTTGTGCCCCATTGGTTTTATAATCTATTAAAAATTATTATCCCATTATATTTAAAAGGACTGACACTTATTTGCAGTTCCTCTATTCTCTATTACTTAGCTCTTGCTATTTTTTAATTTAGGAGATATCTGTTCTTTCCCTGGATTAGAAGGTCTGGGTGCATATTACCCTCAAATTAATTATGTGCCCTGTCAGATGGAAGCTAATTAGTCCATAACTGTGACACGCTTATGAGGATTGTGCCCCGTCGCTCATTTCTGATGCACAGAAATACAAGGAAATGTACAGGGTGAAAGACGCACCTTGTTTTTGATCTTTCTGCGGACCCTCTTGAGTGCTTTCTCCTCTGTCTTGGTCAGCGGCAGCTTGTTGGGCACAGGATAGCCCTCAGCAATCAAGGTCCGCTTCTCCTCCTCTGTCAACATCAGGGGGCCCGATGTTCCCTGCAGCTTCTGAATAGAAGAGAGCCAGAACCCTGTAACAGCAGAATCACCAGACACTTGCATCTGATCAGAGGCTAGAATGTGGCCCATAGGTTATCCAAGGGGAGGGCTCCAGACAGGGGTGCAAAAGGAGAATATGCTCTGCAGAAATCTCCTGGTCTAAGCGGAGATTTCAGGCACATGTGAAGGTTGGGATGTGTAATAGGACTGGTCGTCTTGTTCCTTTCCTCAAGGAAGTTCAAGCAATTCAGAATGAGCAACTTCTCCATTACAGAACCATGTAGACATTTGGTTTGGTGGCTCGTCAAAAACAAACAAAACGAAACAGCTGTTTTACAGATGTTTCACAGCTGTTTCAAGGTCGGCCATATGAGAACAAACTAGACACAGTAGATGGATCTTGACAAAGACCAGATAGCAGAGTCCTTAAAAAAATCAATGTGCAGAACATGACCGACAAAGGAATAATCATCAACAGAGCCACCATGGATTTATATCGCACAGTACACCATCTATCCATCCAGTACAGATAATGGAATATATTAGCAGATATAGGGCTAGGACTTAACCAATAACAGCACACAGAATTTACCACATACCTACATACAAGCAAATGTTTTATGAAAAATTGCATTTATCTGCCACTTGTTTTCCAAAGCAACAATTATTTCACATTTTTATAACTGAAGCTGTTCAGGTCAAGTATCATTGGTTATGGTGCGACTGTAGTGCAGCTTCCTTAAACTATAAAGCATATGTTCTCCGATCACAGCGCCCTCTGCTGGTGCGGAGGAGTACTCACATGTGGAGCAGTGAGGAGAGGCGAGGTGGAGATTGCCGCGGAGGTGCGGGTGGGCTGGCGTGCTGGGCTGGGGGGAGGCAGGGAGCGGGGGCTCTGCGATCCGTCGCTGTCGCTGCCGTGGCTGCTTGGAGGGGTGGGTGGGAGCTGCAGCCGCTCGTCTGTGAGGGGGGATGGGGGTGGGGGATGAGCCATGAGTGGCAGCGAACCCGACACACACCTCTGCAGCTGGCAGGCTGGGAGCCCCGGGATGCGGTCGCATTCTTCAGCAGCACAACCTCATTACTCAACGTTAACAATAAAAAAAGAGGCATCAGTCATGCTGGGTGCTTTCTGGCCTAAACTAACAACCTGCTGACAACACGCAGCAGAAATAAAACGGCAATTTCCAAATTAAGCTACATCAAATAAAGACAAATTGCAGTTCCAGGTAATTAGCGCTGGAAGTCTAATCTCGGCTCCTGTGGCCACATACACCTTGAGTTACATTTAAGGCAAAGGGAGTTCCTTCATTCCTCATGAGGATTCCTAGTGATGCCAAACCATCCCTTCCGTCCTTTTGTCCCCCCCCCTCCTCCCCCGTCCCCCCGTCCCACCCCCAGGACCCTGCCAAGTCAGCCAGCCAGTCCTGGAGTTCTGGAACGGGCCGTGTGTTTAGCTTGGCTCCGGCCCAGAGTGTGGAGAAGTTTCACTTTGTTTTTGCTGGAAGAACTGGGATTGAGTTGGAGGATGCTGATTTTTTTGTGAAAGCCAGACGTATCACAGACACAAACAATTAGTCCTTTATCGAAAGTGTGGAATCTGAACTGGATCAGAAAGTATGTTGGTTCAGGACTGGGGTCTTGGGGGTAACACACAGATCACACGTACTGTTGCTAAAGTACAGCAGTGAACTCCAGCACCTCCATGCACATCTGCTACCTGAAGTCATAAATCACTTATTCCACTCCTCTTCTCTATAGTAACAGCACAGGTGCAGTTGTCTTCACACAGGAAATTCAAGTCAGTACTTCTCTAATCATCGCCTGCATTCAGGATTTCTAGGGACCAAGTATACTTCTGTAATTCAACTGGCTTTTTACTTGACAGGGCACAAATACTTAATAATAGCTGTTACTACTGAAATACAAATTATGCACAAATTATGAGCAAATATAGTTGCTACTTGAGATAAAAGATACGCCACGATTCATTACTGATGAACAAACATGAGAGCAGTATTTCACTTGTGTTATTCATGACTTGTTCCTTCAGTAGTTGACAAAAGTTTACACAATTAACAGATATAGTAACAAATATAGTAAGTGCCTTGGATGAAAGATGCATCCTGATTCATTAATGATGAACAAATATGAGATCAGTATTTAAGGTGAGATCTGTGTTATTCACAACTTATTCCTTCAGTAGCTCCTTCAGTAGTTCACAAAGGATTACAGAATTGACAGATACAGACAGCAACAAATACAGTAACTGCTCGAGATAAAACACGGTTCATTAATGAAGAATTAACATGAGATTAGTATGTAAGACTTAGTTTGTGATTAATTAATACATAAGTAATAGTATAATACTGCATTATTTGCGGCCCATCAAGTAAAATGTTACCCATTATAAATACTTTATTGTTCGATGATGATGATGATGATGATGATGAAAAATTGATGAAGAGTATGGCCAAGACATGTTGGTGTTTCATTTTAACCCCAGACACACACAGTAAATTCACACAGCTTAATATTTCGCATGGCATATTTTAAAACATCCTCTTTTCATTCAGGTTTGGCTTGAATGAGAACTGGGCCCGTCGGTGGTATGTACTGTATGAGGTGAAGTTCGTTGGTAATAAATGTGTTAATGGAAAACAGAGACTAAAAAAGCAAGTGTTTAGCTGTGAGCCAATAGGCTGTAATTGTACCTTATGATGCTGCATTTGAGCCAAAATAAAAAGGTCTTATATAAATAGTGGACTCCACAGGCAGACAAAGACCTAGCAGAGTAGGCAGACAAAGACCTAGCAGAGTAGGCAGACAAAGACCTAGCAGAGTAGGAGCCAGTTAAGCGGGATGGGAAGATACCCAGCTGGGTCACAGTCTCACAACATAAAGGACAGAAAAACACTTTTACGAGACAATTAGTTTGCCAAAGTGGCTAAATGCTAAATTAAAGTTAGCATTGCAACCTGAAATACATTGAAATGTTTCTTTTTACAGTTATTTTTCATTATGTTTCACGCATTGACCGTGTGACACAGACATTTCGCCCAGTTCACACGCTCACACGCCACACCTTGTGTTTCTCACGCTGAGATGTAAGGGATACCGCCCACCAAGGTCTCCCGTTATATAGAATTAATGGACAAGGCGCAGGCATAAGGAGTGGAGTTTTCCACTGAGTTCATCGCTGTCCCGAGTTATACAGAGTTAATACCCATCTACCAGCCTATCAGAAAATAGCATTTGTTGTTTCCGGGTAAATTCCAAATTACATGTGATCCTGCTGCCAGCACATTATTACATGGATGCACCCACAGATGGAGTGCAGAAAAGGTGGAAGTAGAAGAGCAAGATGCGATCAATGCAGTAGGCAGGGCTGTAAAGTCTCACGCACTGACCGTGGGACATACACTCCGCCCCTAACAGATGTAATCTCACTCCAAACTTTTGATGAAACTTGAGAGCCCTGTATGTACATTGAAGTGATTATTTTCCTGTCACTAGACAGTTGTAGCTAGTGACGTCATTCTCACCCGGTGAAGTGTTGAGGGAGGAGTTGGCTTCGTTTGGCTCTGTTTTGATAGCAGGCAAAGGAATATGTTTGCTGGACCCCTACAGAACACAACAAAATAACAAAACAGATTTCAAATCTGACATTTTCTCTAAAAAAATAAAAAAAAATGCATGTAGCTCAAACAACATTTGGATTGCAAAGTGTGGCATAGTATTGGCACGACCCCGGTTCCAGTCTCTACCATGTCCTCCTGTGGCTCCTTCAGTGCTGGAATGGCGAGGTTCAGTTGGTGGGGGGCACTGTCTAGCAGAGCGGTGGAAGAGGATGGTTCTGTGAGCAGGCTGGGCTCCTGTTTCACCAAAACGGCTGTCAGGTCCTGGCCAAGGGACCACAGGCCTTCTGACTCTGAGGGAGCAATGGTGAGACAAAGTGAGCAGCGGTATAGGAGAAGAGGCAGGCCGAAAGTATCCCTCTGCTGCCAGCAGGGGGCGCAGTAGGGGCTTGGATACCCTGGCAGATTCAGGGGGCCCTGCACTTAATATATTGTATAACATTTGTAGTTATGCCCCTGGTTGTTGGACTGAAAGTTTCCTGTTTGGGTGGAAGTAACACCAGGCCTGCCAATCAAAGGCCTGCCAATCCCAGGCCTGCCAATCCCATGCCTGCCAATCCCAAACCTGCCAACCCCAGGCCTGCCAATCCCATGCCTGCCAATCCCAGTCCTGCCAATTACTTCAGCAGGCCCCCATGCCAGGGAGCACCTCCCACCTTAACCCTTTCCTGGACCCGGACTTAGGACAATTTCCCTATTCCGCCCCCCCCCCCCCCCCCCCCGACAGGCCTGAGTAACACCACTGTGTGCTGAAGACACAATTTTTAGGCAGCAAAGTGGCAGCTGTGATTCCGAAGCTGCTGTGAAGGACACTGTGAAGCTCAATGTACCAGAACTGTCATTATCCCCCAGCCAGTTTATGTGAAGCAGCGTGATCCAGCACCGCCGTCATTCACCCAGTACAGGAAGCCTGCCCATCAACAGCGCCCCCTGCTGATGACACACGGAGCAAGCCCAGGGCTGGCGTGGAGGAGAGCTTTGAAAAGTCAGCACTCCAGAAATCCAAGGCGAAAGAAGTGCGTACCCAGGGATTACTGTAGGCTGCCTGCCTTTTCATCCATGTTTGTGTGTTTCAGCGTGACTGAATCGATAAAAGATTTCAGGTGCTTGTAAAAGGGGCACAGTTGGCTGTAAAGTACCTGGTGTTGATGAAAAACAGGTTTCAATGCCAATGCGGCCCCCCAGGGGTGCTAGGGTGAGGCGGGTGGTCTCCAGCAGAAAGGTGATTATGGGCCCAGTGTACATTCCATTCCTGCTGAGGTCTGTCCATGCACTCCACTGTGAATTATAGCGTATTAAAGACAGAGTGTGGCTCAAAATCAATCTCTTTCAGTGCTTACACAAAGTAAGCTTAGGATTGTGGTTTTATAGTGAACATCACCAATTGGCTAGAGACTCAGACTTGCTATTCTGCAGATTAAAAGCCTCAATAAAATGCCACTTGTTTATGACCAGCTGCTTAATTTAATAAACTGGACCGAAAATGTCAAATGCGACTATACGGGTGTTATCTGTGTCGCCAACACAGCTTCCTAGGTCCTAAGATTACATCCAGTTTACTGGTGCTGGAGGCTAGCTCTGGTTCCCATGGGAACAGGTTCATGGCTCAATAAACAGGGAGACAGAAAGAGAGTAGCGTTTCAAAAGGTCAGAAAGTGATCTTCACTCAGCCAATCAGGTAAATGTGAACGACATCACTGGACATGTAGCGCTCGTTTTGTCACTCCGGTCTTTTTATAATCAATGCTAACTCTGAGTGCTGCAAAACCCATATATGGACCTACATCTACTGTAGCTGAATCGCAGATAAGCCGCGACCATTAAACAGTGCAGAATGATAGCAGGAGATTTAGCACAGTTCACAAGGCCATTAGATGGAGGCCCATTTCCCATAATAATAAATGCTTGATAGATGACACCGTGAGAGACAGTTTTGCATTACAATAAGTGAACCATTGTGGTAATTATCTTTTATAAATGGCTATTAAAATCCTCAATTTTTAACCATTTTGAGTAGCTGGCAGACTCCATAAATCATGACAGGGCAGCATGGAAGGTTAGTGGGTGGCATTGTGGTCTCACACCTCCATGGATGGGGATTTGAATCCTGCCTCTGCTCTCCATGTGTGAAGTTTGCATATTTGCTTCTATTAGTGTGGGGCTCCTCTATCTATTCCAGTTTCCTCTCACAGACCAAAGACATGCAGTCACTTAACTGACATCTCCAGATTTGTCCCGATTGTCTGTATGTGCCCCGTGATGCACTGGCATCCTGAACAAGGTGTCCCTCTGTCTTGTGCCCTGTCCCACCTGGGACAGCATAGCTGACCCCGCGGCGACCCTGAGCAGGACAGGCTGGATATGAATAGATACACCACATATGAGACGTCAGCAGTGGGCCAGTTAAGCAGGCAGGCAGTGTGCATGGTGGCGAAGAGGCATGTTTATCACATTGTGTGTACAACTGCATACTTTAAAGTACAGTACAAGTCGCTGTGTATGTTTTTAGTAGGTACTAGAATGATTGGGGACACCTGCAGGTAAGATCTAGAAAGAAATACCCACTGGAGAAGGGACTCTATCTACAGATAATGTGGAGTTAGTGCTGTACATAGATTTTTAATATAATTATTAGGAGGTTCTGCAAAATCTTAATTTCTTAGATCTGCATTATACACTTCCTTGATTTGTCCTTTTTGTTTTAAATCAGTTTTATCCATTGTATTACATTAAATACTTTAACGTATTTTCCATGTTAGATATTTAGTGTAAAACAGCCTATAACTCCCATAATGTGGACCTCATAACTATAAGTTAAAACTTACTATAAATTATTTGTGGTAATATGTATACAGTTGTACAGTGAGACATTGTAGCTATTAATCTAGCATATTTATAACTATGCATAAAGCAGTCCTATATTTCAAAAGCACCTGTTCTTGTAGGACCATTAAAAATCTGCATCCATCCATTTTCTGTAGCCACTTGTCCTACTCGGGACAAGGAGCCTCTCCCAGGGGCTGTAGGTGTAACCCAGGATGGGGCACCAACCCAATGCAGGGCACAGTCACACACTATTCATACACATGCATGCATACCTACCTACCTATAGACAACTTGGTAACTCTTGTATGTTTTTTGACTGCTGAGATGAACCCAGAGTACAAAGAGGAAACCCCACGACAACGCAGGGAGAACATACAAACACATGGAGCCAGGGTGGAGACTTGAACCCTGATCAAACAGGTGTGAGGTGACAGTGCCAACCACTGTGACACTCTGCCAACCACTGTGACACTCTGCCACCCCCAGATAGCAGTTTATATACTGTACAAGAATGCATACAGTTATTGGGCTTTTAATCTTCCTGTCCACATAAGACTGGTTCGCCATTTCATGGGGGCTCCCAAGTGAATTATTATCCATGGCCAACCCACAATGTGCCAGGAAGGAGCTCATTAAGCTCAGGTGGGAAAAGGAAATGTTGGTTTGATCTTCACACCAGAACAATAAAGCATCAAGTGTCTCTGCTCACCACCATTGTCATGTGACTAAAGTCCCATATGAAAACCATTCAATCACAGTCTGGGATTTATTCTTCCAAATACACTGGAACATAGGCAATATGTGAACACAGAATGCCAGACCCCCATAGCTACATAAAAACAAACATGTACACGTATACAAATGTACATTCAGTTACATATAAATGCACTACCAGACAGAACAACAAACACTTAACTGCACAAAAAAGAAATTCCGAAAATCCCAAATGAAAGCTACGGGAAATATGGCCAGGTGGCCCATCAAGACCTGAATAGTGGATTACACTCAAATATCTAAGCATACTTTTGTACGCTAATAAAATTTTGAATTCCAGGTCACATACTATGTCCTCATTCTTGAATCAGCTTGACTGTAATGCAAACCAACACTCTTTACCCCAGTCACCTCATTCTGGGCTTATTTCCATTTTTTCCATCTTTCCACTGCTTTAGGCATCCAAGGCACATCACAACCGTTTCATTTTTTTATTAACGAGTTTCTGCCCTCTCAGGAAACAATTCAGGAGCTCCTGGCCTTCATTTAAATGTGTGTGTGTGTGTGTGTGTGTGTGTGTGTGTGTGTGTGTATGGTCCAGGTATACCTTACATTATGGGGATCAAAAGTCCCAAAATTTGACAAGATCCTGTAATTTTGTCGTTGTGGGGACCATGTTTACAGTCCCCACAATTCAATTTTATAAAAATCTGTGACTGCAATCAAAAAACTAAAAATGGCAAAAGACTTTTTTTGGTTACTTATGGTTAAGGTTAGGGCGAGGTAGGGGCTAAGGTTTTCGTTGTTTGGATTAGGGCTCTGCCCTTAGAAATGAATGGATGGTCTCCAAAGAGATATGAGTACTGGTCTGTGTGTGTGTGTGTGTGTGTGTGTGTGTGCGGGTTTACCTATCCTTATGGGGACATAATGTCCCCATAACGTGATAAATATCTGTTTTCTATTTCATAAAAATCGGTGACTGCTATGAACAAACTAAAAATGCAAAATCTCTTGTATTTTGTTTGGTTACTTATAGTTATGGTTAGGGCAGGGTAGGGGTTAAGTTTGTCATAGTTAGCGTTAGCATTTTTCCCATTGAAATGAATGAGCGGTCCCCATAAGGATATGTTTACCCTACGTGTGCGTGTGTGTGTGTGTGTGTGTGTCTCCCTGGAAACTCACAGGTAGAAGGGGCCCTTACTGCCTCCCAGTCGTCTGACAACCTGGCTTTCCTGTTGAACCATTCAGCATGTGCCTTGTAATCTTTCTTTTCTTTAACCAACCGGATGCTTAATAAATGAGACAGACATGAAGGGCTGATCCTGGCGTGAAGGAACACATTGGTTGTCTCACTGTCCTGTACCTTTATCCATCTGGATGGGCATGGTGGGGCTCTGAGGGGCAGAGTCTCCACTGAGGGAGTAGCTGTGCTCTTCCTGGATGGCAGGGTTGGGAGGGTCCAGCTCCATGTCCAGTAGAGGATTCCTCTCTGACAGCAGATGGTCATCAAAGAAGCTGCTGAAGAGCTCGTTGGAGAACTCCTCCATCTGCTCTGAGAAATGCTGCAGGACAAACACACATACATGGCCTTTAGTGAACAGAATCTATACAAGCTTATTTTCTTTTGTGGTAGAACTGCTTGTTTCTTAATCAAGGACCATATCACGTTAATAATAAGGTATTAAATATGCTGAAATGTGCGATAAAGTTGTGCTTCCTGATATAAAGGGGAAAAGTATAATTTCTTAAATCTGTATTTCCATGGCTGAGATTTAAAATGAACTGTGTTAATGAACTATTGTGATCTAATATACAATCTGTTCAAGTCCTATTGATGAGTAAATAAATCTGCTTGAGCAAGTATATCTTCTACAATATCTCTAAAATATCTTCTACTACAAAGTATGTAAACATTTTGAAAATCAAGAATATTGAAAATTGAAATCATTAGGCTTTCACACAAATAATGCTTTGGAGGGGAATTAGCACACTACCCTCAGCAAGGCAATGCTATGAGGGATAGACTCACCCACCCAAGCACCAATGGCCCTTGAAGCTGAGCATGTTTGTCAGACACAATAATAAACATCTGTGTCTTTCACAGCAAGACTGTACAACCATCCAATAAACAGGCCTCATGGGCAAGTGAAATGATATTGGCTGATGTGAACCACTAGAGAAAAAAAGCATTCAAAAATCCTGGGGACAGTTCATCCAATGTGCATGGAAGAATCACCAATAGAACAACTGTGGATTGTCATGACCGACAAGAGGAAGGACTCGGGGGGCAGGTGTGGTGGAGAAACAAAAGGAGTTTCATTGAATTCAATCAACAAAGGCTGGGGAAAAATGAGGGTCAAATCAGAGGTACTGGAATGAGGTACAACCCAGGCAACAAGAAGGTACAACATCAATGATTGGACTGAGGACCATAGCACTGGGAAGCAGGTATATACAAGACTAATGAGGGAGCTAATGAGAGGCAGCTGGGAATTATTAATATGAGGGTTAGGAACAAGAGGTAAGACAAATGAGTAACAAGTGTGGCTTGTTAGGGTCACACTAGGTAGGAGACAGGATGTTCAGGTGGACAAAGCAGGCAGGATGTAACATGAATCATATAAAATTACTGATTAAGATAATCTGCATGGTATATTCCATCTGACATGGCAATTATATTCTTGTAGCTTGTGAGCTTTTTGCTAAATACATTTAATTACTACTGTAATGCTAATCTGATCCTGTGAGTTTCACAGGGGCAAAGATTTGCAAGAAATGTTGGTGCGAATGGAGACCAATCAATTGTCAGACGTGTCTAGAAAAACAAAACCTGAATCCCACTCAATTTAAACTGATCTGCATTACTTAAAAATGCAATTTTATGAATTTTTCATTTTTTTATTTTGCATTTTATTACCCAATGTCACTCGCTAAAAAAATTAAGTTATGGCATAATTGTGATGTCCTGCCAGTTGCTTTAGCTGAGTGTAGTTATATTTTATGCCATAATCCAGAGGGCAGACGTATTACGCTTTGAAAAGGTCTTGCCGTTAAACTCCCATTAACAGACGGGTATTCCGTTTGCCTGAGCAAAGAGAGAAGTGTGTATGTAAACCAGCGTCACAGTGACTCTTGGGAGGGTTTCTATTTGCTTATGAAGAGGATGTTGAGGTGTGGGGGGAACCTGCAGGTGTGCAGATCCTGTTGACTTAAGGCAGTGCGTAAGAGCTCAGCTGTACAACTACCAGGCAGGGCACACAGGTCACGTCTCCTTAAACTGTATCCCAACCCCACCTCCACCTCAGTGCACCGTCAGTCTGTAAGGCACAGTGTACCCTGTGCGGTCTAGCTTCGTCAGTCTGTAAGGCATGGTCCAC